TGTGGCGAAGGTTGTTGAGAGCGTGGTGGCACGACAGCTTCCCCGACACCTGGATGAAGCTATCTATCTGGACCCGTGCCAGTCGGGCTTCAGGTAGGGGTACAGCACAGAAACGGCATTGGTCGCGTTGGTGGATGATCTCTGGAGGGCTCAGGACAGGGGTTGCTCCTCTGTCCTAGTCCTATTAGATCTCTCAGCGGCTTTTGATACCATCGACCATGGTATCATGCTGAAGCAGTTGAGGGGGTTAGGAATAGGGGGCACCGTTTTGCGGTGGTTCTCTTCCTTCCTCTCCGTTGGACAAGTTGGAGCACTCGGAGGCTCCAACTGGTCCAGAATGCGGCCGTGCGGGTGGTTATGGGCGCAACTCGTTGTGCCCATGTGAAACCCCTCCTGCGCGAGCTGCACTGGCTCCCAGTGGTCTTCCGGGTGCGATTCAAGGTGCTGGTTACCACCTTTAAAGCGCTCCATGGCATAGGACCCGGGTACCTTTGAGACCGACTTCTGCCACCAATAGCCTCCCACCGGCCAGTTCGCTCCCACAGAGGGTCTCCTCAGGGTGTCATCGGCCAAGTTATGTCAGCTGGCGACACCCAGGGGGAGGGCCTTCTCTGTGGGAGCCCCAGCCCTGTGGAATGAACTGCCCCCGGAAATACGTAAGATCCCCGACCTCTGGGTATTTCGCTGTGCACTGAAGACCCTGTTGTTCCGCCAGGCCGGGCTATCGACATGATAATTTTAAATTGGGGTATTTTAAATTTCTGGGGTTTTAAATGGAGCCAAATTTATTTAATAATTTTAAATTTTAAATTGATGTTTATGTTGTGTTTTTAAATAGGCTGTACACCACCCCGAGTCCTTCCGGAGAAGGGCGGTATAGAAATTATTATTATTATTATTATTATTATTATTATTATTATTATTATTATTATTATTATTATTATTTCTTCTTCTGGCCGAAATAGTGGGTCACACGGTAAGTCACAGTACTAGTTGGTTTTAGTATTCGTCACATCTTCCAGAACCAATTATTGACGAATACCAAGGTACCAATATATGAGTAAATTTGGCTAACAATATTCAAAAAATCTCAAGCAGCTCAAATTAAGTGCAGAGGTTAGAATACAGTACTGCAGACTACTTCTGCTGCCTACCAGTGGCCCGCAGTTTGGCAGTTCAAATCTCACCAGGCTCAAGATTGACTCAGCCTTCCATCCTCCCGAGGTTGGTAAAATGAGAACCCAGATTGTTAAGAGCAATGTGCTGACTCTGTAGAGAGTGCTGTGAAGCACTGTGAAGTGGTATATAAGTCTAAGTGCTAGTGCTAGTAATAGGTTTGTATATACCGCATGCAATCTCTGGGACAATCAACCCAACTCAGTAATCTTTATCACTATTTTCATTCCATAAGCAACTCAAATGGTAGACAGTAATGGATATACATAACCTTCATTGGCTAAAACAGCTTGGATTTTACAGGGCCTTGCTCAAATATAGAATTCGATACAAAGAGCAATAATTATAGTGTCAGATAATTTCCTCACAATTGAGAAAATTATTTTAGCTTCTTACAAGGAAATATCCATCATTTGCATCATGTCAGTCCAATGTCTTCTTGAAAACTCCAGCAACAGAGCGCCCACAATTCCGTGAGGCAAGTTGTTCCATTGATTATCATGAAATTTCTCCTTAGTTTTAAGTTGGATCTCTCTTTAATGATCTTCCACCCATTGCTCTATGTCCAGCCCTCAGGTGCTTTTTTTTTTTTAAATTTGATTTATATGCCGCCCTTCTCCAGAGACTCAGGGCGGCTTACAATGCGTTAAGCAATAGCCTTCATACTTTTGTATATTTATACAAAGTCAGCTTATTGCCCCCACAAACTGGGTCCTCATTTTACCTACCTTAGAAAAGATGGAAGGCTTAGTCAACCTTGAGCCTGGTGAGATTCGAACTTACAGTAATTGCAGACAGCTGGTGTTAATCACAATGCTTTTAGTCTGCTGAGCCACCAGGCTTTGAAGAACAAGTCAACCGCCTCTTCTCTGTGACAATCTCTTAAGTACTGAAAGATAGCTATCATTTCACTCCTAATCCTTCTTTTCATTAGGCTACACACACCTAGTTGTCTTAACTGTTCATCATACACATTAGCTTCCAGACCTGTTATCATCTTTACTGCTCTTCTCTGTACTCTTTCTACAGTCTCAGCATATTTTTTATATCATGATGACCAGAACTGGTTACAATACAGGTAGTCCTCGACTTATAACAGTTCATTTAGTGACTGTTCAGTTACAACAGCACTGAAAAAAAGTAACTTATGACCCTTTTTCACATGACCTTTGTAGCATCTCCATGATCATGTGGCCAAAGTTCAGATGCTTGGCAACTGGTTCGTACTTATGACTGTTGCTGTGATGATGTGATCATCTTATGCAATCTTTTGACAAGCAAAATCAATGGGGAAGCCAGATTCACTTAACCACCATGTTATCTGCTGCAGTGATTCACTTAACTGTTGCAAGAATAGTCATAAAATATGAAATATAAATATAAATATATAAAATGTCTCATTGTTTTGGGCTCAATTGTGATCTTAAGTCAAGGATTATCTATATTCTAAGTACAATATAGAGCGGTACTATCACTTCTCATGATCTTGTTGATGCAAAGTACCACTGCACTGGCTTTTTTGGTAGCTATAGTGCACTGCTGGTTCATACTTAAGTGGTGGTTTACTAGATCTCTCTCACAGTTACTACTGTTAAGATAGCTACAACTATTTTATACCTGTGCATTTGGTTTTTCCTGCCTAACTGTAGGACCTTACTTTTCACATCACTGAACTGCATCTTGCTGAATATGGTCCAATGCTTAAGTCCATCAAGATTTTTCTGAATCTTGAGCTTAACTTCCAAAGTGGTCACAATTCCTTCTAGCCTGGTATTGCCTGCAGATTTGATGAGCTCCCCTTTTGCCTGTCATATATATCATTTATGAAGATGCTGAAGAGCACTGGGCCCAAGACAGAACACTGCATGCTTCCCTCCATATAGATGTCATTCCACTGAGCACTACACGCTGAGTACAGTTGGTCAGCCAACTGCAAATCCATCTAGTGGTGGTACTGTCTATCCCACATTGTTCTATCTTACCAAGAAATAGGCTGTGATCTACTTTGTCAAATGCCTTACTGAAGTCCAAGTAAACTATATCCACAGCATTTCCCTGATCCACTAACTTAAGTCACTTTATCAGAGAAGGCAATGAGATTTGTCTGTCATGATCTTTTTTAACAAAAACTTATGCTGGCTTTTAGTAATCACCTTGTTCATTTCTAGGTACTCAGAAATGCAGTCAATGACCTTCCAACTCCTATTTAAACGGGCAAAGTATGCATCAATACAGGATCAAGTAAGTAAGTATAAAATGATGCACAAAAAGTAACTGCATATATAAGCTGATAAGAGTCTGAGCTGTCTGGAATTAACTGGAAAAAAGAATTGGGAATCAAGCGTAATAGGACAATGAAAATATCAGCTTGGTATGAAGCAGCTGTGAAAAAAATATCCTATACTAGAGAACTTTAGAAATGCATTGAAAAATAAAGCAGCTTATACAAATGTATGTTATATCTGCATCTCAATGCAGTGCTGCTTATATTTGAAAAATTAATATAATTCAGCTGCAAAACATGTAGAAGATTGCAATCAAAATGATCAAAGGACTCCAAATGTCCCTTCAAGAAAAGGCAAGAAATCGGGATCTGAGGTTTGGGAAAACAGAGGAGACATGAATGAGTTATATTAAACTATGTCTGACATTAGAAAGTGAAAATGGAGAATTCCCCCGCCCCCAGAAAGGCAACCTGTTTTACCAGTTAAGGAGTTGGAGTAGAAACTGGGAGACTATGAGTTCTAGTACTCCATGAGGTGCAGAAGGAAGCTGGGTGATTTTAAATCAGTTGCTATTTCTCACTCAACCCACCTCACAGGATTGCAATTGGAAGAAAAGGGAACATTACAGACACAACCCTGAGTTGCACAAAATAAAGGCAGAATACAAATCGAATGAATAATAAACACTTAGACAAGTTGATCAGTGAAGCTAATTAGAAGATGTGGAACAGATAGTTGTGAATTTCATTTCCTCAAGATAGTCCCTAATTTGGACTGCTTTTAAAAGGGATTGCATGATTCAACAAGGCTAACTTTATTAAAGAGCTATCAAAGAGTTATCTCCAGGAAGATAGTTGCTTCCAAATATACGTTACAAGGGAAGGGAACAAGTGAAAGGTACTTTTCCGCCTCTTGCTTGGAGGAACTAGAGACATCTGGCTGGCTCCTATTGGAAACCAAATGCTGAATTAAGCTGGTTCTTGCCTGATTCAACTCTTATATTCTAATCTGCCCTGATCCCTTCAAAAGTACTCTAAGAACAGTTTCAGAGCACTCTGGAAGGAGACTTTACTGCTGGCTAAAAAAATGCAGGTAAAGGTCAGCCTGTTATGTATGTTTACTTTTTCAATGGACCTTAATCCAGGCATGATATAGAAACTGAGTTTTAAAGCAGAATAGAAAGTTGAACGGTGCAAATTGCAGATGTTACATGCCATTAAAAAAAAATCAAGTGAAGATTGGGGTTAAAGTTAATCAAGATACAGCCCAGGAATCCTGCAAACGCGGAAAACTTACTAAATCTATAGGAAAAAACTTTCCAAAAGAGTTGGTGAGGCAAGGCGTGAACCGAGGCCTGAATCACATCCATGCAGGCAGAATTCAGACTCTGTTATTGGACGGACCCAGGAGGAAAGGAAACTTCCTGCCTCGCCCCGTCGAGAAACTGATGGGACAATGCCTGCATCCGTATGCAAGGCCGAGCCGGCTCTACCAGCGCAGGGAACCAAAGAAAAGGCAGGTAGGGCAGCTCGGCTAAGGACTACCCCCAAATCCCTCTGCAATAAGGCAGGTGGCCACCCTTCTCTCAACATTACTTACGAATTTCCGCGGTTTACCGCCGCCGCCGCTTCCACCAGGCTCTCCTGCTACTGCAGCTACCGAAGACTCGTCAGCATTCTTGCCTTTCTTTTTCTCTCGGCCGGTTCCGCGCACGGACACCGACCCGCTCCCGCCGCTCTCCATTGCACTGGACTAGCAAGGTAGATGACACGAGCAGCAAGCAGAACCAGCAGCGCGGCAGCGATCAAAGCTGAAGGTGCCCAGCTACTTCGGAGACCGGCGCTCGCAGCAGGAGTCGCTCACCAACGGTTGACTCCTCTATAAACCGCTGCGCCGGCCCCACACAGCCACTGCTTCCTTGTAGTTCGGTATGTACGCCACGCCCACTGTGTCGTCATCGCGTTCCACAAAGTAGGTTCCTCAAAAATGAGAAAGCGGGAAGCCGCCTATCTGTGGTTGAACAGGTACTGTTGTTATAGAGATAGATCTTGTAGAAAGGCTGGGGATCAAACTTCCAAGTTCCCTTTGTTTTTTCTTTCCGGGATCAAAAATGAAACTATCTAATCAACGCAATTATTGAAAGCCAATTTTTTTTCTCATTCATTTTTTCCTTCGTTTGAAAAAAAGTGTGTTTAAATACAGTTTTTAAACCCTGTAAACAATTTTTGGTCAGTTTCCAGCAAAATCTCCCAAAGAAATAGCGTTTTAGGTCAAACACATCTCACAGTCCAACTGGTGCATTTGGTTGCTTTTAAAAGTCTTGGATCAATTGACTTGTGATGCCAACCAGGGCCGGATTTAGATGAAAAGAGGCCCTAGGCTATTCCACTTATGAGGCCCTTTCACCAGTGGTGGGATTCAATTTTTTTAACAACATGTTCTGTGGGCGTGGCTTAGTTGGGGGTGTGGCTTGGCAATCATGTGACTGGGTGGGCGTGGCTAGCTGGTCACGTGACTGTGTATGCGTGGGTAGCTCGTCATGTGACCGGGTGGGCGTGGCTATGTACATAGGGACTACTCAGAGGGCTGAAAAAAGTCATTTCTGACTGGGCTTCGCACTTTTGACCAGTCCTCACACTTATGACCATCCTCACATTTATGCCCGTGCAGCTTTCTTAACAACCATGTCACTCATTTCACAACTGCTTCTCTTCACCATGGTGACAAGATAGGGCAAAAACGTAAAATGTGAGGACAGTCGTAAGTTCGAGGACTGGTCAAAAGTGCGAGGACCAGTCAAAAATAACTTTTTCAGCTCTCGGAGTAGTCCATATGCACAAAAGGACTACCCAGAGGGCTGAAAAAAGTGATTTCTGACAGGTCCTCGCACTTTTGACTGGTCTTCGCACTTATGACTGGTCATCATTTATGCCCATTGTAGCATTCTTAACAACCATGTCACTCATTTCACAACTGCTTCTCTTCACCATGGTGACAAGATAGGGCAAAAACGTAAAATGTGAGGACAGTCGTAAGTTCGAGGACTGGTCAAAAGTGCGAGGACCAGTCAGAAATAACTTTTTCAGCCCTCTGAATAGTCCATATGCATAAAAGGATACAGCAATAGAGAGGGATGAAGGAAGGGAAGGGAAATTAGAGTAGGAGTGAGGGTAAGAGAGGGAGGAAGAGGAGGAGAAGGAGAAAGGAAGAGGAAGTAGGGAGGAGAAGAAGAGGGGGAGGAAGAGAAAGTAAGAAGGAAAGAAAAGAGAGAGGTGGTAGGTTTGAGGAGAAAGATTGCTGTACAATAAAAAAGATGAAAGGGAAGAAAGCCAACCCCCAAAAAATATAAAGATATTAAGATAAAGAATGAATGGTTAAATTTTAAAGAATAAAAGAGAACAAATATGAATAAATAATAATTAGAAACACACATACAAACATACAATGTATTTTCTTTGAACAGAGTATTTGGCTGGTTCACAAATTTAAACAGTGTTTAGTCATTTCAATTAAATTTACAATTTCTATATTTCCTTTTTGCCATATTTATTCCTCATCTATTTTTGTAAAAAACCAATATTACCCTTCATCCTCATCTCTAATCTTAATCAAATTCAATTTTTCCCTTCTATTCTATATTATACCCCTTCCCATTGTCATCTATTTTTATATCCATCCTCAGATTGGTTAATTATGTAATATTAGTTGTTTAATATAAATTCAACATTTTAATATAAATCAATTAGTTATATAACTACCTTTTTTGTATATTAATCAATATGAACATGAATATTCCAATTATTTCCATGCAATCCAATTTCTTACAAATCAATTAATTATATATACCAATAATAATAAACCAAATAATTTCCCCCATATATTCCTCCAAACCACAACTTAACCATTTCTGCTTTCAGAAATATACAATTAATAGTATCTCAATTATTACAATTCCCTAGTTAAATAGAGCTTTTTTTCTTTTGTGTTTTAAAATCCTGAACTCTCCTCTTTTTCCCTAAATTTCCCATTGTTTGCACCTACCTTTTTTGGTGAAGAAAAAGAAAAGAATTCTGCCTGCCTAATTTTCCAACCTTGCAGCAACAGCAAAGCAGTTTCAGTTTTGTTTCTCAGCATAGCTAGGGGAAAAAAATCAGCACTCTTTGCAAGGAAGCAGAAGAGCCCTTAGCAAAACAGCTGAGACAAATCAGCTGAGAGCCGGGAGGCCAATTAGCCTATGCTGAAGCTCCGTGGGCCAATAAAATTACAAAAAAAACACCGAACCCTTTGTTAAATTGCTGGCTCCCCCGCCCCTCGCCCACCACTATTTATTGGCAATAAATAGTGGTGCGGAGGGGCGGGGCAAGCCAGCAATTTAACAAAGGGTTCGGCTGCCCCACTGGCTCTAGGGCGGCCCTTTGAAGCCCCGCGGCAAGAATTTGAAGGTTTTTTTTTCCTCTAGCCATCGGAGGCAGCAATAGATGGGGAGTGGGCGGGGTAAGCGAACGGCCGGCGATCCAACAGAGCAGAGAGTGAGGGTGAGTGAAGGCGTGGAAGCTGCTTTCTCCATCCTGCTCTCTTGCGTCCGGAGCCCACGTGGATCCCAGGCAGTGGAACTCAGGCTAGGGAAGGGGTGGGCAATTGTGGCTCTTTTACAACCTGTGGCCTTCAACTCCCAGAATTCCTGAGACAGCCAAGCTGTCTCAGGAATTCTGGAAGTTGAAGTCCACAGGTTGTAAAAGAGCCACAATTGCTTACCCCTGGCTACGGTAGGCTGGCGCCGCGCGGGTGGGAGGCGAGGGGCGGGCGAGCCAGCAATTTACAAAGGGTTCGGCTGAACCCCCTAGAACCCCCAGAATCCCACCACTGTGTAGGCCCCTCTTGATCTTGAGGCCCTAGGCTGAAGCCTAGTTAGCCTATAGGAAAATCCGGCCCTGATGCCAACATTACTCAAGACTCAAAATATGTTTCGTAACATAGACGTTTTAAAAATGTACGGGGACCTACTTTTTCTGCTAGTTTTACCATGACATGTTTGAGCTGTACAAGTTAGCACCCACCCCTCCTAGAAGAATGAAATATTTTAGAAAATATTAAAAAAGCAGAATATTATATTTCCCCTAAAAGAGAAATAGAAATCTTAAGGGAGACAGAATCTCACAGCTTCAGCTCCCTGCCCCCAGCAGATATTTGGTGCCCATTGAGAAGGACTGGGCCAGCCTATCTACAAAACAAAAGACCTTCAGCTCCAGGGTGATGGGATTAAGACATGTCCCTCCAGGACATAATAGGATTAGCTAGCAGCAGGGCTCACTTTGTTGTGAATTTAATAAGACAAACACAACTTTTAGATTAATCAGAGACAAATTTTATATATTGCGCAATAGGTTCAAGGCTCTGTACATGAAGCGTTGAACAAAGACAGAAATTAGGTACAATGGTTTTATACCCTCTTTTTGTAGATTACTGAAGCATAGATTCAAATCATCTTCTGACGATAGACAACTTTTAACTCATGTGGATCCCCTTGACCTAACCAACCCTTAAGCTGTATGTCATTAGAATGTTCCTTTCTTCTGACAACTTAGAGGCCTCCTAGAGGAACCAAAAGGATTTTGGCTGAGTTTGTACTTTTTCCAACCGGATGCATTGCTTTTTAGAATAGAGTGAATAGAAAGTTATCCAGTGGTCATCTATCAGAGCCCGCTTCATTTACATTAACTTCATTGCAAAATCACCTGGGGACATTGCATCATTGCATCACCCTCAAGGCTTCAATCAAACTTGATTCAGACAAACCTGATCCCACATGGCCCCATGGAAGTCTGACTACAGCCAATAAAATACATTTCTTGCATAGGAACAGGAAGCTCAAAGGCAAAGCGCAAGAGAGGGTAGAAATACCTCTCTCTCTCTCAACTCCATGTGGTCAGCTGCCCAGGACCTCAAACCCCTGTGGTTCTGTTCATCAATAAACCATCTTTCCAAGCAGCCTCTATGTTTCCAGTGTCTTTCTCCCTGCTTGGAACTGAACCAGATGGATATTTCTTCCAACAGACCTATGCTGAAATCCAGGATAGTACAGAGTGAAGAAGACATGTAGTCAAAACAAAATTCTTTATAGAAAGTCAAGGCCAAGGTGCCCTGCAGCTGTGCTGAGAAGACTGGGAAGATATCTTCTGTTCCAGACTGTACATGATTGGATGTGTGGTGGACATGTGGGTGAAGGGCAAGCTCTTGAACTTTCTTTTGGGTGAAGAAAACCCGGAAGCTCTCAGATTCGAGTTTTCCCAGATGTGCCAATATGACGTCTCTAATAAAAATTAGCTTTGAGGAAATTCAAGCCTCGAAGTTTGATTTCGTTGGGGGTGTTACTTGGAACCCTAACATTAACCCAAATCTCCTTTCTAACTAAAGCAGTTCCCCCTGAATTTTGGGGTGCTGTCCGGGGTCCTGAGCCCCAAGCTTTGACCAGACCTCAGGCAGCCCGAAGACTCAGGGGAAGATGGAGGAAGAAAAGAAGGCCACAGAGGAGGTAGCAGGCAATGGCTCAAGAACCCCTGTTGAGACCCTCTACTCTCCTTCCCTGGCTATGGAGCAAGCCATAAAAGCCGCAGAAGCCAAATGCCAGCTGGCCACCTGATGCAAGGAGCCGATGCCAGAGCGGAGATCATGACTGGACCTGATTCTGCAGGGCGAAGCCATGGGAGTTACCCCGATCCAGGGATTGCTGTTGGAACCATGGATGGGTGCGGGGCAAGCCTCAACCCCCAGGTAGAGAGGCCACAGCAGATGCACCATAGGCATTCTGGAAAATGGGGCTTCCCACCGCCGTCATGCAGCCAGTTGCTGGTCGGTCTCCTGGAGCAGTTGAGCCAACTCAGAATGAGCGGAATGACTCAGCAGCACTGAGCAGCTTAAGTGAACCTTGCTGCAACCAACATTCACCTTCCTGAGCCAAGG